AACAACTGTAACCATTCACATACTAGTGTCAACAACTGTAACCAATCACATACTAGTGTCAACAACTGTTACCAATCACCTACTAGTGTCATAAACTGTTACCAATCACATATGTATAAACGGACACAATGGTTTCCTCGTGCATTATTCAATGGTGACGCGTTCAATTACTACACATGCGTTTGTTCGTGAGTTGCTAACCACATTTATGTCAACTTAACCCCAGAATTTTAGAATTGAAGTATATTTGTAGATATCTTGGGAGAGACTTTAAGGTAGGTCAGTGGTGATAGCACAATAACAGTCCATATGACAAACACTTATTATATCACGTGATTACCACAAAAAAATCATGATAGGATAAATAGTATTATACTTATAATATTACGTTGCTACTACGATATTACATTACCTACAATTACGTGGTTACAATAAATAACATGACTTTTATTTGAAATGCCATTTGGTTACCATATTAATTATATGTTATATCATTATAAGACAACGGTGTCAATATCGGATATCAACAACACATTTAAACTGCATTCTAGTATGTAGGCGCATCATCGACGACTATTAGGATGTGTTTCCTTACAACGCCCTACGTAAGCCTACCATAGCCGACCTCAGGGACGAAATTCTTTGTAACAGCACATGTATGCCTACTATAACCGGCAATATAATACATATCTCCTTATAACGGCACAACTTAGAATTACCATAGCCGACTGCAAGAACAAAATTATTTATAAAGCCATATGCACGCCTACCATTACCTGCAACCAAAAAAACCCATATTTCCTTAAAACGTCACAACTTGAGATTACCACAGTCGACACTGAGAAAGTTATAAACGTATTTTGTTAAAACGTCATAATAAGCCCATACCATATCCCACCGCGACCACACCTTTCCTTATAACTAGGTTATGATTGTATAGGTCTACCATAGCCGACACTAAGGATGCTTTTCATCCTAACATATCTTTCACCAAAATGAACGACTTCTTGCCTAACATTATTTCATGTACCGTCAGGGCAAAATAATATAGCTGCATACTTTTCTCCATTATCTGATATGTTTTGTCATCATGTAGTGCACGATATGGGCATTTCCTTATCTAATTAATTTCATGTCAACCCGAGAACCCCCATATATGCCCGAGGGGCAAGACGAGCCCAAGGGCTGGATACAGATTTGGGTTTGAAGATGATCTCTAAATATCAAGGCACAATTGAAGAAAGCGAGTACATTGTATATTGTGGTTTTGCGTATTCAAATCATTCCCACGAGTGTTCCGAATGTGCCCAAATGGGTTCATTAACTTCCCCACTCAAAATAACAATTGAAACACTTTAAAAACTGTTATATGAAATAACAATTTCAAGGACGTATTACCTTACTCTCAGCCACGATTATATTTAGTCGCGTGTCGCAAACAAATAAAAACAGCCTGTAACTAATATTGTCCCAGGAACTGTTACCAAATATTACTATCCGGTATACGTTGTGTCAGTCACTACAATATCGTGTGACAAGTGTGTTCTTTTAAAGTTTCGTTACGTGTAAACACATTTGGCATGCTAGCATAGTAATTGGAATGCTATATGATGAGTTCCGCATTCTTCACAGAACGATGACCATACAGCCTTATGTAAATTGGACATGTCATGAAACAATGTTCGATACGTCCCAAGGAACATACCTTTACAAAAATACTTATTACATATATAACACTAAAGAACAAGTGATGTATTATTTCGTATAACGCGTATGTCTGATAGTCCCGTACCGCAACCAGTCCATAGTTTGTCTGAAAAAGTCTGGGTTCTTACAAGAGTTTGCAATTATTATATAGAGCCGTGTCTGCTTATTACTATCTATATACCATCTAAGTCGCTTCCTCGTGTGTTTCCATAGCAACCCTAAAGCGCTAGTACCGAAATACACACAAGATCTCGACTTACCAGCATCGGAACAGAACTTACGTGGGACAACCATGTACACTTGTAAATTTACTTCTCCAACAAATATATTAAAAAACTTCACAAAGAAAACAATTTAAAGTATCTCCCTCGCTTGCTGGTCATCGGGAAATCGATACGGGATGAAATTGATCTGGTGTGCGATTGATTAGGTAATGAAGCAAAGTAAGTGGTCTTATCATCCCATCCCTAATCCCCTATTTCGGCCCAGTGGGATCGCCCGCCCCAATTCATGTGCAGTCGTTGCATTTTCCAAAGATGGATGTAACCTTATCGTGTGGCTGCGTGACGTATCTGTACGGGGATTCTATCCTCCGACTCTCCCCCCTCTGGTAGGCAACTTGGCACATTCCAAAGGTATCTGGTCTAAAATAGTTTGGCATACTCACTGTGTATTTACTTCAGCATAGCCCTTTCGAGTCTGTGGGTACGGTGTGTAGAAAGGCAGAAGTCAAGCTCTCATCTGCAGTTGTTCAAGCATTTCCCTTCTGCTTCAAAGTTCTTCTTCGTTTTTCTGTTTAGTTACCTTTAATTCTCAAACAAAATGGATGCTATCAAGAAGAAGATGCAGGCCATGAAGGTCGACAGGGAGAATGCCCAGGACCTGGCCGAACAGATGGAGCAAAAATTGAAGGATACAGAGACAGCCAAAGCAAAGGTAACGTCAAAATTACAAGTTAAACCATCTCAAACATTCCGATAACGTTGAGTTTACACTATACGTACGGTATAGCAATTAGAACTGTCAAAAATTTCGTCAGAACTTCAGAAAGTTTCTTTTTGGGGAGATAATATGTAAGAAAGGTTTTGTTCGGGCAAAGGACAATTTTAAGGGGAACATTTTCAAAGATAAAGTGCTTAATCTTACCACTGTATACAATGTTTCCATTACCATGTACCAAATTTCATTCTCACGATATTATCGCTGAGCAGCAAGGTCACAGAGGGGATCGGCCATCTTGAAATGTGATACGCCACAAGGATAGGGGATGCTGTTAATGCTATCTGTTCCGGCTGGAATTGATTATAGAACCACCAAACTCCCCCTGGCTTCCCCAACGAGCATTTTTTTTTGCACGTTAATGCACGGCAAAAACACGTTATGCTGCTATATACATGTTTCGCACAGTAGCTCATTATACGAAATACCCATACACTCCGTGTAATATTACTATGCACCTTTACAAGATAGCGTTTAATTATTTCTGCTGTACGCTTACAAGAAGACGTTAAACCGTTTAAACCTGTATCATGTTGTTTCAGTGTTTAACAAGACTTAGCTTTAGTAGATATACTAACTGGTAACTTCTAGCATCTCTTTCTGTCCTATATGGTCTGGGTTGCTGTCCGGATGCAACGCTAGTATTATCACTGTGCATGCGCAGGCACGTGTGTCGCTTCCAGGTGTATTGTTACCGTGCTCACCAGGTAGCTGTAGAGAATATCCCCAAATTTGACCTTATAAGGAACTACAATCAATATGAAATTTGAAAAATATTAAAATGTTATACATCAATACAGTTTGAATAGCATCAATAAATATCCACTTTGTCCAATAGCACTTGTACAGCAGTACTTGATAATCAATACCTTATATGGGAATCCACGTATTATCTCAACCATGGAAACATGATAGGGAAGTGTAGTGAATGGGCATGAATTATTTTTGGAACTCGGTTTTCATTAATTGAACCCCATTTATCGATAGATATAAATATATCATAATACATTTAACTAGCGTATAGAGACATATGAATAGTAATTTTGTCACACGCGCACATATACATTAAATAAACATCATTCGACGTATTTGAAAAGTCAGATCTAATGAACAATATCCTTGAAATATTTGCACTTGCTAAACATTTCTTTTTTGTTTTATTTTATAGTTGGAGGAGGACTTCAACGATCTCCAGAAGAAGCTCACTACCACCGAAAACAACTTTGATGTAGCCAACGAACAGTTGCAGGAGGCCAACGTCAAGCTTGAAAACTCAGAAAAACAGATCACCCAGGTAAGTAGCCACGGCCCCAGCCCCACCCATAGTCCCTGTCAAACAGTGTAAGCAGGATATGGTTCTAAACACCGGGGGGCTAACATGCTATTTGCTGTATCCGGTCCCAATTATACTTCTCATTAAGGATGACATTACAATGTTCTATAGAATCTTTTAAAGCCCATTTTGGTAAATATATATCTACATAATAATACAATAGGGTCTGGTTCGTCCTTGTCGCTCTGCGCATGGCTTACAGTGTCGTTGCATTATCTTTATTTTTTGTCTCTCTCTGTGTTGAACTTAATTGCTATCAATGCAGCTTTAACAGCTCCTGTGGTGTTTATTGTACCATTTTTATATGCACAGCGATTTGCATATATACAGGAAATGTGAATTTATTCACGTTGAATAATTCCAGATATTTTCTGAAGTTTGGAATGTGTATTGTGATTTTATGAATTGGAAAATACGTTACTAATTTGTTTAAATGTGTCAAAAATATGATCGACTGCAGCATATGTAACACGCGGATTTTACAGTTGTAAGAGGATTTTTCCATATAATGTGATGCTAGTGCTGGGCTTGCCTCTGTCGGCGGGCGGGTGTATTATATTACCGGCGTATATGTGCGATAACAGACGATGCTGTGTAGTGTATGCTAGCCTCACTGATTCATACATTAGTGTAGCTCGTGACGTCACCACTACCCTATTTGGAATACAACGCGAGGAATGCTTGCCACTCAGAAGGAGTACAGCTTTTCCATGTTGTGGATTACACCCCTCCGCAAGGAATTTCCTCGTCTGTGATCAATATACGAGATTGTGTAACTTCATGAACTTTTGGATTTGTTTACAAATCGTGTGAAACTATCTCATGGATTTTAAGATGTTGATAAATTGAAAGTTTAATATTTTTCAATCATGATAGTTTGTTTTTAAATATAACTTTCTACCATGGAGCATGGTGATTATCTTGGAGTTGGACTTTCACAGGAATCGGTGGCTTCCGTTCAACTTTCGCAAGACTCTGTGACGTCAACAAATTCTCAGGACTTGACTTCGGAATTGTTCGTGTCGGGGTCACCCGCACCGGACATTCCTGAGGGGGATACAGAGGACAGAACAAAATCTAAACATAAATCGGGGAAAAAGAAAGTTAAAAAGAAAAAGAAGAAAAAAGATGGCGAAACTGGTGAAGTTATAGATGGTGAAAATAAGAAAACAAAAAAGAAAAAAAAGAGATCGTCTTCAAGTCGGCCTGAACCCGAGGGAGGAAATGCTCCAGATTATATGGACCCATTTGACAGGATAATTTACAATAATGAGCCAATATTTTCGGATGTTGAACTCTCCGGGGATGAGGGGGAGACCCCGACCCCTCAACGCCCATGTAGGAGCTCCTCCCGGCCATCAAGGCCCGGGGGTATAACGATAGTATACCTACCTATGGGCCTCCATTCCAATACTATGATAAAATTTGCAATTATCGGAACTGAGATCCAGAACGAGTTACGAATTTCTCTAAAACGGGTAGGCCAATGTGTTATCAATAAAATGTTTTTGCATGAAATATATAGTGCATGTCAGATTGTTTTGTTTTACGAGCAATATTTTCATATCATACCAAATAAGTATATTTTGTATTCATCACAGTTTCCGTGAATATTTTTTCCATTGTGTTATATTGAGTTTCATCACCTAAGGTTTTGATAGGACCAACTAATTATATCGCTGCAGAAAAGGAGAGAAAAAGGAACAATAGAGTGATTCCACCCACCTTTTTATAAGCAAATTCATTGAACTTTTCTTCTAAAAACATGTTGATTTATAGCAACATTGCATCGTATTCGAAAACAAATCTTGAAATTATCTCATTAGTGTTAGACCAATAGATATCCTCTAAAGCGGTATAAATCCAAATAATTTAGAACGATAAGGTATACGCTCATATGTTTATGAACTGAAATTCATACTATAACAAAACGAATAGGAAAACTACCATGCGTTACAAAGTTGTGCTGATTTGGCCGACATTTTGTGAGGGGAAGATGAACTCGTAGAGATAGCACTGCTGCCGTATTGTAGGCACAATACCGTCCTCCCGCAGTCGTACTGACCGAGGCCCCGTGTTACTCATTACGGGAACAGCTGCTGGCGCCCCTCCAACCCTACATCAGGGAGGGGGACTAGCAGGAAAAGTAGGGGGAGGCTGCCTAGCCGCGATTCAACGTGCAAATATCATTACTTGCTGTATATTGAAAAATGTTTCCCCTTCTTTCAATAAAAACACATAGTTGTTGAATACGTCTCGGTTCTCTACGGCAAGTACTAGGATAGATGATCATTTTATTTTCAAATTCAAATGTACTTAAAAATAATTTTATTTTCAAAATATTTATCAGAATTAAAAGTTTTCCTTTCACTGAAATTTCAATATAATGGGCGATCTTGTGTAAAATAAAATGAAATGTCGACTGACAACTAAATATACATTTGTATAATATACCCACGTAATAAATTCAAATTCTTAATCAAATCTAAGCTTTCAAACATATCGCTTTAACAATTAAATACAGTGTAAAAACGAAGTCATTTTTGATAAATCCACACCGGTACATTGTTGCTAATGAACTATGTTATACTATGGTGGTCTAATATAACGACCATTACAATGTAATACAGTGTTAAAACATGTTGTATGTTCAACAGTCTCTAATTATCATGTTTCCAATTAGTGGCAATTACAAGTTTCAGTAAAATCTTATTTTATTTAATAATGTTTTAAGTATTAAGGAAAACTCTATTCAACAACTAAGGCGTAAGCTGTTATTTAAATGTAGTAAAAGGTCATCGTAGGTCTTATGCCATATAAGGCAAATAATATATAAACGAGGGAGTGAAATCACTTGTGTCAACAGCACAGGTGTCTGCTTGAAATAGGTCACATGATATTATTACAATTTATTGTGTATTTCCCGGGCGTATGAATATAGTACTTGAGTCAGACTTTCTGAAAGTAGTCTTTCTTCTACCAGGGGAAATGTTTGCTATCCTAATCATAGGGTGAGAGTATTTATGGGAACGTGGTGTAGAGAAATTTAAAATAAAACTCGATCAAGACGCGAACATATCGGACCTACATTTTGTCGTCACAGCTGTATATTACCACGAAAGTAGTGCTGAGGTCTATGTGTGTGTGAAGCTGTGTCGCCAATATTCTCAGGTTCAGGACTTAATACAACTTTCAAAATGCAATCCGGAGCAGGGACCTCAACGTTGCAAACACTAAAAGATAAAATGACAAAATTAAGAAACGACACGGAAGACTTAAATGAAAAACTGGACGAGAAAAACCGAGAAATTGTATACGAGAGAGAAAAATCATCAAAAGTAGGTGATAGCAAATATGCAATGCTTTATTATTTGTACGGGCGGTCACTTGACCATTTGGCAACAGTTGATGATATGATAACAAATTCCGTACCTGTTAATTATCACATGTGCTTCCTAATTAAGACACTCTACTGATGGCGTAATCGTGATCGGGCAGGTACCCGGCGATAATGGCGGATATATCCAAGTGGCGATAACTCAGTGTCATCCATAATTTTAAAATGCTTATTTATCGTATTTGTCAATTTCATTTTAATTGTGTCATATGATAAAAACCAAAAATATTAGTATTTTATTATCGCAGTTAAGTTATGTTTATATTAGACGTCATAATGACCCATAAATGAGCGTTTGCGTTTGGCCGGGCAAATGGGTTGGGCATTTCCTGTTCTGAGGCATTGAGGGGTCATATCCATGAACTTGCACTGAGCAGTTTTAGCTTGGCTAAGATTCTTGCCATATTTGGGCATTTGAAGAGAAATTCAGTTTAAACATAATTCGCGAGTGTTTTTTTTAATTGTCGATTAGAACTTGTCGCTGATATTCGGCTTAACTCTTAATTCCATACAAGTGAACGTTATACGATACCTCGACTCGAGTGGCACAGGATGTATAGAAGTGCATCTTAGACTGTCAGAATGTAAAATTACTCCTACTACATCTCCCTGTTGTATGATTCTACACGTGAAATGATATATCATAATTGTTGCAAGTTAGACTGGAAGAGGAAAGGGGGGCTATTTTTGTCCCTTTGAAATCTTGCTAGTTGTATATGTAATAGGTTTGTTCTTCCATTCTGTAATTCTTATGTTAAAAATGAAGGTTTTGTCTAATGATATCACGAACCATTCAAATCTATTCCATAAGATTTAAAATGCTTCAATTATGAAAGAAAACAAGCCATTTGCGATGAATTTTCTGTTATAATAATTTCTAAGTTAAAAACAATATTTGTCAATCAGTACAGCTTTGTATTACACAAATTCGTCATTTTAGTGCTAAGAATTTAGCGGGAAAAAAAGTATTTGTCATTCAAATTACACTTCGCCACAAGAATTTAACATATTTAACCTATACAAGTAATTTGTAATGACAACGTGAAAAGGTGAGTGTAGTGAACATGGCTGATTCAACACAAGTTTGTGTAACAGATACCAATGACACAGACACTGTAATGATCTTCTTTAAATTTTGCTTGACGCACAACATTACATCATATTTGGTAGCTTCTGGCCATGGTATAGCACAGACAGCTGTTAATCCCTTAAAATAAGGAGATTTTTAACATACCTGTACCTGTAGACGAGCTAGCTATGACTCACCAGAGCGGAACAGTATATGGGACACAGTTACACAGACTACAGGATGTTATGTCTGCTATTATTTTAATTGTCAAAAGAAATATATTAAACTTATAACACATAGATAAAAGAAACTGAAAGGAATTGATTTCTGTACTGAAAGAATTTTTACCTTGATATGACATGAATTATGTTTTATAAAAAACGATTTCTTTAACTGCAGTAGCAATGAGTAGAAGTCATCATATACACAAGCATGTAGTAAAATCAAGATAGTGTAAAGTTTATGTGGGTTTAGCTACAAGGAGTATAATCTTGATATTTTCACAAAATTATTAACTTTTTCATACAAAGGTATTTTTATAGCATCTAGTGTACAAGTCATTCATGTGTGAAGTAATCGTATTCATGTTATTGGATTTTGTGTTCTGTAACTTGTCAGTGGTGACTAATACTCTCCATGTTCTAACTCTTGAGCGTCAGTGCACTGCTGTGTTCCACATGTCTGTAGATTGATAGAAATGGAATGAGATTTTTTTCTCCATATCAGGAGTCTTTGTTAATTGTGTCATGTTTACATGAAACCCAAGCCAGGCATTTGCCCTAGGATAAAATTGTATCCAGACCTTACTCAACTAAACATGTGTTAATGATTGCATCTATTATGTGTTTAGTTTGGGGGCATACTCCGACAAGTCATTTGGCATTTTAAAAATAGCTGTCACTGACCTTGAGTCAGAATGTAGCGAGTAATTGGCAATTTTAAAGATGTCATTGGTATAATGCTGATCTTATCCCAGCTGAGTTTATTATCATTTTATATACCCCCTGTATTATCATATTCATGATATACACATACTAGTCAATTACAGTGTTGTCTTATTGACCTCATTCCCCAAGGTACATAAACTAAATTGATGTACTTTTAATAGATTGTGTGTTGTCATATATACAACCTTGTTTTATTCCCTACCAGCCTCCTGTTGTTAACAGACTGCATTGTCATATTGAGCAACCTGTATTTTTGTGTTTTTGAAAAAAGGACACCGAGGATCCATGCATATTTTTTTTAATTTCAAGAAAAATGTTACTGAACGAAGATCTAATCTTATTTTAGGAATTATCATTGTAATAGCCAATATTATATCAAATTATATATAATGTCGGACATTGTCGATTGAACATCTCCTGTATAAAAGATTAATTTTGAACAATTATGTTGAGTGTTGTAAACAGTATCTACTAGGCTTGCCAGGTCTGGATATATTTCCTTGATGTTAAACAGACCCCTGTTTGTTTATGAAAAGCATATCCGCTGACTTATTTATATATCTTAACAAGACTTAAAAACAAATATTGTCTGGAAAAAAATAATTCTCGTCTGGCATTAGCAAGCAAGGAATGACTAATCATACCAAAACAAAGAATCACTGTTGTGCATAATATTGGTTAGGGAGGGGTACTGATTCATATATGCTTGTTACATACAAATCTGCACACACTAGCACACACCTATATGGTAAATGAGTAGGTGGTTAGGGATGGGCCGCATACATAGTATAGGCTTTCCTGGTATTTTTGTCACTTTACAACAGCTCAAAGTGATTTCTGAATGCTGTCCAATTATTAAAGTTGGTTTTGAAGCAATAGAATGTGTTGTATTACAAAGTCTCGAGAGGACATGAATGATTGAATACTAGCTTATAAATAGGTTGTTTAAAAATTTCCTCCAGTGTACTGCATACTATACATTGGTGTTAAATTGTATATATATTCTCATAGTGCTTACACGTTCATGTCCTTATTTCTTTCTAAGGCCAAACAGTAATTAGTGTTTCGGCTTTAATTTTGATGTCAAAAACTTGATATAGGTATATAAGGGTTGGTTAAACTTTCAAATTCCATTATTCATAATATTTATACAAGTTTAGAGTCAGTATTATGAGTTGTAAACATATTTTATGTTAGAGTAAATATCTACTGTATCGAGATAATGTTTAACATCTCTTGTCCAAAAGTTAGGCCAATTTCAAGTATTGCATTATGGCCACCAAAACTGGGATATGTACTACAAATAATGTATTTATTAGTGAGGGAAAGCAGAAGCTCTCTTTTCTACTTGTCCAGATGTAAGTTCTTGCTTAGATTTATACATGATTTCCTGTTAAAACTTCTCCACTTGTGTTGGAGCAAACCCGGTTCCGGTAATTGATACATGTGTCAATGTGCAGATTTTACATGAGCCTGTAAAAGTTTGCTAGAGTCTGTAGATCAGGGGGTTATTGTTCCCTATCAGACTCCCACTTCACAGCCCCCCGCCCTATGTTATCAGGAAACGCTGGGAGAGAAAGTGCTCGGGTCAGATGTGTGGATAAGTTGTTATAATGATATCAATTTAGTGTAAGACAGGTAAATTACTGGTCCTTTGATAGTAACCACCTATTACATGTACAGGTGAGTAGACAGGTGAGCCAATCAACAGGTAAAGTCAAAGATAGGGTTTATTTTACCGGTGGTTGCCCAAAGTCGGCAACACAGATTTATACAAAGTCGAGAAATCTTTATCCTTGGCTTGACATCTGTTGCATTTACTTGTACTGTATATGTATACAACAGCTTTACGAAAAAGAGGAAATATTGATCTCTTGAAAGTCCAGGGCGCTGGTGAATTTGAAGGACTAGAATCCAATTGACATACATGTATGATATGAATTAAGTATAAGATAAAACAAATGCTGTGAGATAAAAATAACAGTGTAATATTTTGCATATTTTCTGACATATGATAGGAATTTACTATATATTCAAATGATATGCAATTATGATAATAAGTTTTGTATATATTTGTTGTCTCCCCCTTAGTCCCCGACAAAAAGTCATGCATAGGTCGCACATTACATTACTTACAGTTGTTAATATTGATTCTAAACTTTAAATGAATATTGAAAAACTAAAATTTAGTGTTGCTGCAGAATACTGACGCGAATGTTTTACCCTTGTAGCTAGAGTCTGATGTTGGTGCACTCCAGAGAAGACTCCAACTGTTGGAAGAAGACTTTGAACGATCTGAAGAGAAGCTTCTTACAACTACAGAGAAATTGGAAGAGGCATCCAAAGCTGCAGATGAGAGTGAGAGGTATGGTCAATCAAAACAAATAGACTCAATAATTTTCATATACATTACAAACTTTAAACACGAAAAGCACAACAGTTCAGTGAAATTTACTATCTGCAAGCAGTTTAATCATCATTCAATTGTGCAATGACGTTTCCTTTTTGTAACTTTTGTATGTTGAACAAAATTGAATTTCAAAATCTGCACAAAAATAACGATAACAAAAACTATCCTGCTCATATATATATATGTATATGCCACCCTGGGTTGTTACGCTTGATCAGAGGAAATTTGAAAAAGTGGAATTACTCCAAAATATATTTTCTTTTCATAAATAGAAATGACTAATTTCTCTGATAAAGCTGATGCAGTGTATTTAACCCTTTAAGCACTATTTTCTGTTATATATGATAAAGAATACTTATATGTTGTATATTGTAAGGACCTTTTTAACCTACATTAAGTGATCTGAAAATGTTGCAGTTGGTGCTTAAAGGGTTAACTTGAAAGTAACATAACGTCTTTACAGCCTTTTAAATTATTACATAATTTATGCATGTTTAAGTATTGCTGAAACAGCAGGTGCTCTTTTGTCTCTACCACTAAAATCTTTATAGCCTGAATGACTTAAGAACCACTGATCTGGAAGACATCGTTATCTTTTATTTGTCACAGATACCTGGTGGGTTTCATTGCTTGCTTGTGCACCCACCACTCAAACTCTTAAAGCAGATGGAAAGTCACCTTTATATTGAATGTTTCAGAGTAGAAGTGAACAATATATTGAAGTTATTCTTACAAAGTTTGTATTTAAGCTGCAGGGAGGGACATAAGTTGATGTTCTCCCTAGCTCTTATTTTATCAGAAAAGCACCTGTTGTTGGCATGATTTATAAGTATTTCTGCAAATTTGTACTTGTGCTTTATTTTCATTTCATTTCATTTAAAATCAGTAGAAAGAAACTGTTTTTGAAAGTGATGAAATGAAGTGTCTGCACTGGGTGGATATCTGTGATCAAATCTAATCCTTATTAGTCCTCTCAAAGTTTCAGATCATACTTAATATATAAAATGAAAGGACCAGTGCAAGTTTAATTCTGTACCATTTATTTGTAATTTACCCCAGGATAAAAATAGATGCATGTATGATTTGACAGAGCAGATATATCGAGATTCAATACTCTACAATATTTAATACAGAAACATTTGAACATATATTATTGAGAGAAGTAAATCTAAGCAGTGATTGCAGATATCTAGCCACTTACAACTATTTTGTATGAATTGAATCTATTTCTGGATAATATGAGTTTCAGACAATCTCAACAAACAGTGATATTTGCCTTACTTTTTAACAAGAAAACCTTGTATGAGGATCTCAATTAGTTTTGAGGCTTGTGAGATATAGACGTTTGTTGAGGTTGTTCTGAACTGCATGCTTGCAAATTGGGTACAAAAACTGGATCTCTCGAAAGCCATTTTGTAATCAATGGTGAAGGTAGGTACTTTCATCGCAGGTATTACAGGGGTGGATGTATCATTTCATTCCTGTTCTCACCACATGACAAGACAGTTTACCAAATTACCAGTTATATGGACATAACCAAAATTCACAAATTCTCTGCTTCCTGTTCGGACAATTTCTGTTGTAACTTTTTTTATGAAACTATAACATTTTATTGTAAAATGCCTTTATGACCAAAGATCTTTTATACATGATATATAAGGCAAAAGGACTAGTCCTCCAGTAAGATGAGCAAGTTTCTAATTTTCTGATACACATGTTTTCCAAACTCTAAAGCCTCTGGCTCCATTCCATAAAATGTTAAAAGAAGAAATAAGCTGTTTTTCCTGTGCATCTAAACATGGTATTCAGCCTTGACTGATAATAAAATGCACGTTCCCCAGCTAAAACCTTGATCTTTATTCTCATAACTGAAACAGGGTGTCATGGTTCTTTAAATAACATTTTCTTGCAAATTATTAGTGTATAACTGCCGTGGCTTAAAAACATATCCTGGCACCTGATTGACAAACTAAAACTGTGCTTTTTAATACAAATACATATCTATTCTATACTTTGTAAGTGCTTGTATAATATAACAACTATATCCTCACATGATCTATTTACTATTAACACAAATTTAAATTTGACATACAGGATTATATTAACAACAATTAAAAAATGATAAAATGAAATTTGATTAGATAATACCTACAGTATAATCCAAACAAAAGAATGAAAACTTAAACTTTAAACAGGAAAAAAACAGTCTCAAGCTAAATAAAAAGTATACATATACATCAATTCGTACCACATATATGCTTAACATCCTTCCACTCCTGGTGCCAGGGAGGCCCGTACACTGCGAGATGTAGCTGGCAGAAATGAAGAAAAAATTGAGATGCTTGAATTCAAAACTAGAACCTTGGCCGAACTGTTGGACTCAAATGAGAAGGAAAAAAATGATGTAAGTTAATAATATACCAGGTGCTTTAATGATTGCCTTAGCGCAGCTTTAATATGTAGGTTTAATCAAGGCTGGAACTGGAAGATCACCACCGGATACAGGTAATGCAATGATAGCTAGAGTCTGCATGTTTGTTGATTTTGTTACAGGTCCCGTCGTGTGTTAGAGAACAAAACATTCCTTGATGACAATAGGATAGATGTCCTAGAACAAGCTCTAAAAGAGCGAGACTTGATGGCTACGGAAACTGAGCGGAAGTACGAGGAGGTAGGCAAACATTGGGGCTAGTTTTTGCTTCAGTGGATCGTAGTCGCCTAGTCATCACCATGTTGTACGACTGTCCTCTGTTCTTTACCATTTCTCTTCAGCTTATTGTTATCACCTGGTATGGTTCATTTCAAGTCAAAATGAGATGTACATATTCAAAACATTCAATCTGGTTTTCTGTTTCTTTCAGAGCCTTGGATTTTAATAAATAAATTTCATATTCTTTTTACAGGTGTTTGAAATCTAATATCCATCTTGTTTACAGGGTTTCCTAGCTTATGTGTTCCTGTTGACTTTTCCTTATATATATATATATATATATATATGTCAATTTTTCCCAACCCTGGTTATTCCCCTCCTCCCTTGTGAAAAGGATGCAAGTATGTCACCTACATTTGGTTACCTGGTCAAGTCTCTAGGTGAAGGGGCAAATGTGGGTGGGTAAAAATTTGCCAAGAGATTCAGCAAAGAAAGAAAGAAAGGTACATATTATGTGTACTCATTGCCTAAAATTCTTTTTGAATAACAACAGAGGTCGCAAGGTGCTTGAAAGCAGAAGCCTTGCGGACGATGAAAGGATAGACGCACTAGAGGCACAACTAAAAGAAGCCAAGTATATTGCAGAGGACGCAGATCGTAAATACGATGAGGTGACTGACATCCTCAAGCATACATGTTTACAATGACATACTAGCATGTTCTTAGTCTAAGACATGGTATTCACAGACATCAGCTCGGAGACGAACACAGCGTCAAAATCTTTTCAAAACTTCAAAACATACACAAAAATCATCTTTATCATGAGCAAATGTTTGTTCCTGGTTACAACTGTCATTATTGAATGAAGATTTTCATTCTTCAACTCGTTAACCCCTGAAAGTTCATAATGAACTATTCCAACCTTTGAGTTGGAAGAGTTCAAATGTGTCTTCAGGGCTGAATGAGTTAATTCTTGTTAATGATAAAGATTTTGTCAAAGATTTTAGCTGTGATCTGTCTATATCTTGCCTAATGTTTCAGAGCAATACATAGCATCCTTATGATCACTCTACTAACCTCTCCCAACAGTCCCCTTCACTTGCAGCTCAAGCTTTCGTCAATCTGTCGCTGGCTACTAGTTGGTGGCTTCTGTGTTCATAAGTCAGATAGATACTGTCATGTCTTACTAATATTCATTGCCCCTAGAAATCGCAAGGTGCTTGAAGGCAGGAGTAACACTTCTGACGAGAGGATTGATGTGCTAGAAAAACAGTTGGATTCTGCTAAAACCGTTGCAACAGACGCTGACACTAAATTTGATGAGGTGATGATTTCTTGCTTGCTGCGATATGTTTGGTTTGACAGGCCCTTGTCTCCAAATGTTCCCTTCCCTTGAAAAAATTCTCCAGACAAAGATATTTTGACAACCCTTACCTCATATATCTACAAATCATACTTTTTGCCTAGAACCTGCACAATTCTCCTCAGTAAGGATGTACAATTTTTGCCTAATTGTCCCAAATCTGGTTGTGTGTTCACTGTTCATGTTGCCTATTACTCCAATCTCAAGCAGTGACCCAGAATTAGTCAAGAGTTGATTGATACTGATCTGTAGCCCGATAAAATAACATTTTTATGGTGATTGTGAGGCCCCATTTTAATGATAGTTTTCCTGACACCTCTGTCTTCAATTTTTCTCCTATCACCCACTGGATTCTCAACCATTGTCACCTGTTTCATTCCTCTAACTTAAATCATGGAAAGTCTTTCATTTCAATTATCTATCCAATTCCCTGATCTTCCAGGGTCTTGAATCATATCAGATTCCCTGAAGATGTGATTCATTTCATAGAACCTGCTTAATTTTCATTGTCATCACAGCAACATTTTCATCTTGTCATAACCCTTTCCTTTGGTCTCATTCTCTCTCCCTGAATAACATGTGTTCTGTTTATACTGAAAGCTTGCTGCATCTCTCTGCCCTTTTTTAAGGATGTTCAATTTGTATAGGATTAACCAGCTGCAGACTGCCTGATTACTAATAAATGATACATTTGGGCTGCCAGCCATTTGGAGGTGTTTCCTGTACTACCAAGCACCTCCCCAGGATGTGGACCACCATAGCATCATACAACACTGTCATCATTCCATGTCTGCACTGTGTTATAGTGAATTTGCATTTGGACTTTGAATGTATGAATTATGTATTTATTTGATGATATTAACTTTCCTCACATGGGACATTAGCAAACAAATTGGAAACAGATGACTTTGGAATGTGGTTCCGAATGTGGTTCTGAATCTGAGTTTTACAGCGTACAATCGAAGTCTGTACAGAGAAAAACACCTAGCCGATGTTTGTGTAGATGTAAACTTGTTCACCCCTAGATAACTTTGAAAGACTCTTCCATACATTTATTTGGATGAGCCCATTATGGTCTATATTGGTGAAAGGGTTAAGTAGCCACTTACAGGAAGGCTGACAAGATACATTACAAAGTTAGATTTAAAACCATGATCTGTTTGCTGGTGTCCATGAGGTTAGGACTTGACCTATTTCAGTTGACTGGCATGGAGGGAAAAGTACAAACATATTGCTATATCACCTCTGTATCAGCTAAGCAAAGCTTTGGTAATGAGACTTGACTCCAACCTGTTCCAATCAAGTTACAGTTTAAATGTTTACATGCCCAATTTCATTGGATATAAAGTGATATAGCAATTATTTTCTCTTCTGAAATTTAGCACTGAAAACAGATAGGGGACATTTACAGATTTTACTAAATTGCAAGTGTTGATTCTAACATTGATTATCGGTGATAAGTCTAGAAAAATATCCCCTGTCTGTTTTCATTGTTGATCAGTGTTAGGTCGACTGGTCTGTGAATTAACAAAATGTATGTTAAACATTGCGTAGGTTGTGGGATGTATTTCAAGCTTGTATCATGTTTGGTTGAAATTGCCATACTCCCATTAAGGGAAATGAATTTTGAGGGAATTTTAACCTTGAATGAACATCCGCACAACTAGACGTAATTGTTTGTTTACCCTAGTTTGTTTACACCATTAACATTTATGATATACTTGGTGTGCCCAATCAGGTAACATGGCAAGACAATTTCAATGTCACATCCGAATTGGCGATGTTTCACATAGTTACTTTAATCACAGTAAAATGTGTACCCTCATTCATGTAATTAGGGGAGTGGGGATCTTTTGTCTTGGATTATTCCAGTTTGAAAAAGTTACCTTATAAATATCATTCAACATGAAATTCATGTTGCTAAGTAGAAAAAAATATCTTGTCCTCATTGTTTCATTTTGAAAAAAATCCCATTTAAATATCATTCAGCATGAAATTGTCTTGATTGGCACAATATTGACTTGCACAGGCCAATTTGTGCAATTATGTGTGATTTAACATTTTCACGGAAAACACACACAACCACAGATCACTGTAATGATTTTACATTAATATGTGTATATGTGAAAACTTACTTCACTTTGGCATATTTTTATGTAACATTGTGTCTTTGTATACTGTCCAGCCGGGTGGACCATGAGAGTTTTGTGTGTTTTGCAGTGATTTTAGGAAGAGTTGGATTGCAACCCAAACAAAGGGGGAGAACTCTCACTGTTCCTAATATGTTACACAAGTGACTTCCTCGTTTGTTGAGTGGTTTTATGTCCTCTTCACTACTGTGTTGTTTGGTTAGCAGCAGACAAAACAAATGACTTTACAAACAATTGATTTATATAAAACTTTTATTTGGTAATCAAAATTTTACTATTCACATGAACTTGCATTAGTGCAATCTGTTCAAGTTTTTTATCACGATTTCAAGAACCAACTGTTCCCAGCATGATAGTCACTTGTGTTTACTTGTTAAAGATGTATGTTTTATCACTTCTGAATATGACATAAGAATGATTTGAGATGTGTTAGAATGCATTATCAGTTTCACCCTTTTGAAAGCAAGATGAATTATATTTTGATATTGTTACAATGCATGCCAGACCTTTGAATGTTGTTATAAATTGTGAATTACTTCTTATATGGAATCTTAAATGTGGTGGGGAAATATTTTTTTTAATATTTGGTTTTGATTTGAAGAAAATTTCTTCCACATGTTTCATAGAAAGAAATCTTGGAATATTTTCAAAGGGATGGGTTTTATTCACATAAATGATAACATCAGCTATATGCAGACACTGTACAGTGATTGTAAATGGCTAGGTGTGGTCCTCTTATGTTGTTGATTTATAAACCAAAAAAACCCATCCCAAGTACTATGTTCATGCACTGTTTTTGTTTGAATGAGATGGTTTTATATATACGAGATGTTTGAATTCACCATAGATCCTGTTGTAGCCACACAAGACTGCAATATAAAACTATCCTAGTCTTCTGTGGTTTATTCAGGGATTTGAAACTCCATGATTTTACTATTCAAAATGTTTTATTTAAGACATTTTGTGATTATTCAGAGGTTTTTAACAGTGTTCTCCATGGATTTTAGATTTACAAGCATATTTGATAAATTTTCAAGATTCTGTACCCCTTGTGACATGAGACACTTTGGGGTACAACAGACAATTAGAGATAAAAAAAAATTGATTTGGAAACACTGTTTTTACCTTTGATTTTCTGTCTTCATATGACATTCTATTGAAGTGGAAAGTTATATTAGTACAGAGAATATTGCATGATAATGGAGTCGACGGGTATGTGTTTACCATTGTGTTTGTCAAGGGCGTGTTCAGCTCTTGTCCACCTGTAACAGCAAGCAAGCATGTTGTTGTTGTCTATAGTGACACTCTAGTTTAGTGTGTTATTGCCCTCCCACAAATACTTAACCTTTCTAGTCTCTGCCAGATAATACCAATTTTTATCAAGCATCATGAACTTTTCTTCTCTAAAAATATTGCATGATTTCCTTTTTATCCCTTTTCCTTTTCATTATTTTTGATGAATAATTTTTGCATGTTATTTTTTTGGGTTTTCCTTTTTTGGAATTGTAGCTGTAAAATAAATTGAAATCCAAAATGAAATTGGAATTTCTTCTATTTAATAAAACTAGCGTCGGCTAATTATTGAAAGTAAGACCTGCATGACTTTGGGTTTTATTACTTTTTCTTTCAGTCATAAATTTCAGTGGTTAATATTAACACTTTCAGATCAGATTTCATTTAAAATCAAATCTATGAGAATGATGCATAATTCTTACTTTCATTAAAAATTCCTATTGCTATTGAATTTATATGTAACCTTTTTCTAGGGTCAGAGGTTAAAGTTCTGTCACATGATATTATATGTCTCCGTGTACAAACAGCTTTCCTTCTCTTAGCAAACTACTCTCTCTCTCTGTAAACATATCTGTGGGTCGCAATAACAACCACTCTTGCCATTTGCCAGGCCGCCCGTAAGCTTGCTATTACAGAAGTGGACCTTGAGCGTGCTGAGACCAGATTGGAAGCTGCTGATGCGTGAGTATTCCTCTGGTCGGAATGGTGCACGCCTAGGACAAACACAGTGGTGGTCAACATGTCGGTTATTTGACATTCACTCCGCCATGTTTCTCTTCTGTTACTTGTGTGCGTTTTGTTTGTAGAAATGTTCCTTTATCCCTTTTTTTTTTATTAACACCCTTTTGTAGGCTTCGTCCAAATTAAAAATGAGTGATCACATCAGAGATCAGTTAGAAGACCAAGTTGAGGAGCTTAGAGCGTGAGTGTTGAAATTTAACATATACTGGTGAATCCAGAAAATATAAGGATCACACTAAAGAGGAAACGGATTTAAAGCTTTTGTCAAAAGTCAGTATTCTGTTGGTTGATTCTGTTTGGCTTATAAACATGAAAAGGTGACTTGGCCAATTTTGCCAACATTTTGTGGTGTAATTTGAATATGTTAATGTTTTAATGAAGTTCATGGATTAAGGTCTGTTCATAGTTTTGATATATCATTCTGTGAAGACTTACTGTAATTTATATTATCACTATTTGAACACTATATAATTTGAAACTTGAACAGATGTTTAGCTAGTGATTCACTGAGTATAAGGAAAGATAACTCTATACACTGAAAGCTACCTAAGGCAATTTGGTCCGATATGGAGTATATCAGCTGCGATGATCTAATAGATGTAATTGAAGCCAATTTGCTCTATGCCAGTGCAGGACATCTTAACCACACTTATTGAAGAAGTGTTAGTGTGCTTCTACTCAAACTCTACATGTACTGAATGAATTATGTGCAATTAACAAGCATGCATGACAGTTACTGACCGTCCTATCGCGGGGAAACTTGACAGTAAAAATTAAAATATAATCACAATACTGGTAGTTTCAATGATTAAAAATTTGTTTTTGCCAAATTGAAACTCAACTCAAATGGAAAATATCTTAATAAAACGCGTCTTGCAGTAAAACGAAAGGGAAATTAATTTTAAATTTGATCAAATTCATGCTAGTTAAGTGTGTTATCCAATTCACTGTTCAATAGTCTTTGTACATTTAATGTGAGAACATACTTGTCAACTTACCGTATAACGAAGAGTTTCATCCCTTTTGTTTTGGTCTTTTTTGCCCTAAACAAGGATATAAATTTCAACCAGAAATCTGTACATTCAAAAAAAATATTCAAGATTAATCTTGTTCATAAATAATTAAATGGAAGAGCAAATTTTAAGGCTAGGTGAATTTGTTTTAAACCAGGAGCCAAAAGATTAGCTTCAAAGATATATTTAACCCTTTCATCCCTAGGTAACTGGGATTGATAATACATTGTGGTGTAGTGTCGGATTCAAGTTAAGTTTCCCATCGGACATGCATGGTTAATACCCATTTTGTTTTGTCCTGTATGTTGTTGCAAATTATTTCAGCAAAATAAAAATGACAGAGGAAGAATTCTATCTTCAATCTACTACCGTAAAAACTTTAGAAGCAAAAGACAACAAGGTAAGATAGAGATAAATGCTTTAATGATAGGATCAGTATCTAGCAAGGGTTCACTTTATTTCCAAAGTTATGCGAGGAAAAAACTGAAAATGGCAAAAGTGGAGTTGCAAAAAGTTAAACCCATTCACCCCTCAAGTCACATTTGAACCTTACCAAATCAAAGGCTGGGCAAGTCCAGTTTAAAAATGTTAGGGTGAATGAGTTAAAATTAGTAGTTTCCTAAAACGGCACATAACTTGCACCCTATTTATTGGAATCGTGTTTGGAAATATAAACCTTGCCAGATACATAGAAGTCTTGTATCCTGTTCAGAACAAGTAAATCTAAAAGTTCTGAAATGGATACAAGTGTTTGACTTTGCTAAAACACAGTGCAAATGATTCTTTTTTGTTCAATCAGGTAGAACAAGTATATGCTTGTGACACCTGGCTGAGTAGCATTAACAGATTAGTGAGTGTTAGCCTGTTGCCTGTCAATGTTCCTGTGTCAAACCCTGATGTCCGGATCACAGATGTCTGCCTGATGCCTGCTCAAGATCATGTGTTTACTAACCTGTTGTTCTTAAGTCATTTGCACTGAGTTTTGACTGACCACACCCACTGACCACATGTCTTGGTCCGTATGGCTCAGGCCTGTGCTTGTGGGGGTGGGTCCTATTGAGTGAGTGACCTCCCTTGGTCAGTCCCTGACCTAGGCTTACCAGCCTGCACCTGAAATCCATCCGTGTTTTCCCCATTCCAATTTTCCAAATCCTTCAAAGACTTCAGTGTTGGTTTTGACCTGGACAATGGATAGGGTTTTGTGTACTGATTGTGGCATGACTTGTTCCATAGTGAATCGTTTGAAATTTTTAGTATTTTAGCATGATTTGGTTTTGTTCCATTTTTCATTGCATTCCCAATTCTATACATTTTACGTTGTCAAATTTCCCCATTTTCGGAAGCTTTTTTTTTCCATCACAATTTTTATTTTCATTTTTCTTGTGCAATTTTTTTTTTCATTTTGTTCTTTTCCCTCTTTTTTTTTCTTAAGGAAATTTTTAAATGAGTTCTCTCATAAAAAGCAAAACATTCAAGAAATAATTTTCATTTTTACTCAAGAAAAACCAAAATTTATTGCATTTACCTCACAATAATACTATATGCCATTTGGCAGTCCTTTCAGAATAAGGACTTCTTTTCAAAGAATGCTATTGAAGGAAAACTAGAAATAAAACCTAAGAAATTCCTCCCATATTCCTGTCTCAGTATTGGTGAAGGCCAACATGCCATCTGCAGTACATAAACCCATATCTTTTGTACAATTGCAGCAAAGTACACGAACTCGAAGAAGAGCTCACTGTTGTGGGTGCAAATATCAAAACCCTTCAGGTGCAAAACGATCAGGTAAGAAGCCCAGGTGGTGTAATCTAGACAGGTTCAGCAAGGCAAAGCTGCCTATCGGCGGAGGCTAAGCAGACCTGACCTAGGGACACACTCACTTATGTCATATTTTAACCACTTTGTAAAATTAATGTGGTTTTGTGTTTTCAGAAAAGTCCTTGAGTTGGAGGAGGAATTGAAAGTCGTCGGCAACAATATGAAATCTTTGGAGATCTCTGAACAAGAGGTAGAAACCAGTATCGTGGCAAACAACACCACTCGCATGGTGTTTCATCTGCTTGCCTCTAGCATGTTGACGAGATTACACAAATGTCATGACGTGTACACGATCAGTGATTCAACAGTTTTTCCTTATTTTTTATTGTATGTTCATATATACACACCAATCAGGAGTGCTTAGTCTGCTAACTGGTCTGTACAGCAGAAATAGCTTCCCTGCTTTTTATTGGTTGAAATTAGACAAATTGTTAGTCCAGCAGGGTTATGTACACGTGGTTTTTGATTGGATGAAATCAAGTTTTTCCTGTACCGGCCATGTATGTACTTTGTAGATGGAGCCTTCTGCTTGTTGTGTCAGATCCGAGTAGAATAGGAAGGGCACCATGTAGTCGTGTACAGCGTCTGTGTGCATTTATTTCCTATTGTATGTAGATGCATTTTGATACAAAATATTTCATTTGGCCTATGCAAAATTCAAAAAGTTGATTATTTTTTTCAAATTGGCCAGACGAAACTGCTGTATACACATTACTAGATAAGAATAGGTTGCTGAGGGGGGCCTGACGCATGTTATATGGCTTATGTTAAATAATTGTACAGTAGAGTTTGCTTTCAAAATGAATGAAATACAGGTACCTTATAGTTCTAGAGGTTGTACCCCCCAGCTGGTGGTTGAGTAGATGGATAGTCCGGATGCTGTCGACCATCTGTAGCTGTATAGTGTGAAATAGGTGCATGAACTTGACTGTTTGTGGTACTCACTATAAGCAAATCATCATTATCATTATCATCCTGAAATACATAGAAAGAGAAAAATAAACCGAGAAAAATTAACTGAAGGAAGAATGAATGGAAATTCATTATATCACTCCCCCATTGAAAGAATGAAACGAGACTATTCGACTGTATAAGAGTTACTTCCCCTCAGCAGCCCTTGGATTGGAGTGGCTTGTCATGACCTTTTCGATTGTCTGTGGGTGATCTCCCCCCTCAGCAGCCCTTGACCGGGTGGGCAGTAAATCAGCCACACACCCTCGGTGAGACACAACAATCAGTTTCAGGTCTTCGTGTACAGTTTACCAGGAGGAGGTTGTGTAAAATGGCTGACCAATGTCACATGATGAATTAGTCTCATTATCATTTGAAATCTTTGTTAGATGATAGAATTAGGCAGTGTGGTAGTAAAGACTAAAGGTATCGTCCTGAACGCACTCATGCATTGTGTCCTGCCGGTTTTTTAGTACTTTTTTTTTTTTAATTTAAGCATTTTATAGAGACTTATTCATCATTTAATTGTTGACATGTCAACAGTACAATTATATAATTTGTGGCAAATGAGAAAATCTGAAATATGTGAAGTTGGCGAGTCTTAGAACTAACAGGATAGTAGATTTAATTTTCCCCTGTAAATATATCAACCGGAATGTCACATGCAGGGAAAGAAAACGTTGTGTTCACTCAGGACGTTGTGTATCCCCAGTGTTTTCCACATGGTATGATTGTTGTAATTGGAATATATTTAAGCATGAAGACATTAATTCAGTATAGTAAGCATTTGTTTTCCCTCACTTCAGGGTTAAAGATGTCAATTATACAGTATTACATGTTTCTCATTCTGATATATTTTGCCTTCCTTCATTATAAGAAGAGTATCTCTACAGAAAGAACAAGGGTCTGACTCCAGGGTTCTGTTCACCTCTCTGATCATCACAGTAGTACATCATCTCCGTATGCTTTATAGATATAGTAGCCAGTGTTACACATATGTAATTGCACTTTCACCCTGCATAACATGACGATTTCTCTGTTGTAAAAGTCAATGGTACCGAGTACGTTCTGTAGTACCACATAACATGCAGAATAGTTATCACTTCCACACTGCAGCATTGTAATGTCTACTGGTTATTCTAAATTGCATATAATCTCAATTATGGATGTATCTGTCGGGTGTTATGGCTGCAGCAACGATTGTAATTGGGGGTAGTTTACAGTTTCGGGGGTGGGTTGGGGGTAGTGGACATTTGGGGGGTAAAAGGATTGGCTAGTTAAATATCACTGGTGTATCTGTAGCCTGTTGCTTGTATAACAGTAGCTTAGTCATTAACCTAGCTAGATGAACATCGTACACTCTAGAGGCTGCCTCAACAGACTGAACTAATGATTCGTAATGCTTCGTCTAGCGAAATTATTGATATTTCTATTTCAAGGATAGTCATTTATGAAATGTAAAAATTCGATTTTGAACTGGGGATGAGTATTTTCGTCAGTTTTTGCTCTATATTTAATTTCACAGCTTTGCATCTTAATTTCAAGTTTTTATTTTTAGTTCATTTTTTAATCACCAGAATATTTTACTTACCACATCGATACTTCATACTCAAACTAAATCTACTATCCGACTACTCCTTGAAATAGAATATGAAAGCATTTTGTCAAGTAACATGTATATATATATATATTTATGTCTATATATTGTGTAACAATCGTGACTTTTGTGTTAACACATACAAGAAGCCAGAAGGCTTAGCAGTTATCATCTATTATATGAGATTTTTCCAATAATTGAGGTCTCGTCAGCTCACATATTTCAGTTATGTTATCAGTCACAAATTTAATATTTGGTCAAAAATTGCTTGAGGCATTTTCTCACTCTGTTTTTTTAATTTATATCTTTCTATGTAAGTTCTACTGCAACATCTCAAAAACAATGCCAAAGAAAGTTTGCGTCATGAAAATGATAACCTAAAAACATTAATGATCTATCGCACATATTTGAACGATTTGATCACATATGAGTTTTATATAAATATCAGCATTTATTGTGAAATTGTGAATTTGTATCACTAAAATACAGAAAATTCGTAAAAATAATATCTGGAATATGTGAAAATTGTGTGATATGAATTGATATAGCACAGAATTTTTCACGTTAACTGTTGCAGAAAAAATCAAAAGAAGATGCATCTTTGGTATTGTTCTTGGATCTCGTCAGTCAAATAGAATAATTTAACTATATATTACAATTATGTGCTTCAAATTAATGAAAAGTTTTGTTTTATTTTCAGTTCAATGATTTCCTTGACTTTCAGATTTAAATGTTAAGATTGAAGTGTTAATTACTATATGTAAACTATCTACTATGCTAGCTACAAATTATATATGTATTCTTTGTCTAAACATCTTTTGTATCTTGTTAAAAAAAAAAGTTATTATTTAAGATAATGACAAGATCTTTCTGATAAAAGTTCTAGACATAGGATATTTAGAAAATGGATTGTCCTGTGACATCGCTATCATACCTTTTGATTTGTATTTTTTCACAGGCTTCACAGAGAGAGGATAGCTACGAGGAAACCATCAGAGATCTCACCAAAAACCTGAAGGATGTAAGTGCACTTTTGCAACACTGATGTTTTTTGTTGACACGACATATTTTTTTTAACTCGTTCACCCCTGAAATTTCATAATAAACTATTCCAACTTTTGGAATGGGAGAGTTCAAATGTGCCTTCAGGGGTGAATGAGTTAAAATATTGAATCATACGATGTTCTGAAGGGGGGGAAAAGAGTTACATTTTACTGCAGAAATAAATGTTGACATGCATTCTTTATGTTCTTGTTTGAAAAATGAAAATAAATTAAGTTTTCTTTTCAGACACAGCAAGCTGATATACATGTGTATGTCCTTTATCTATGATATTGCTTTAGTGTTCCTGCCACAGCTGCATTGCTCAGCTCGCTTTATTTGCGTCCTCGATGGTCCTTAGATATTTGTTTACATGTCATAACTTTAAATGTAATCACAAACAATTTGATATATAACTTCAAAGTTGTTACTTACTTTTCACAATGACTTTCTCAGTTTCTAAGTAATGAACAGACTGTATATGTACATTACAAGTGATGTAACATATACCGGTACAATGTGATTCAGGACCTATCAATATTGTATCAATACACAACACTCCAGAATGGCCAATGTCATTACCAGCTGTTCTTTTGTAACCTAAGTTCATAGTCACAAAAGTGTTTGTATCTAAAGAATAAGTGAAGCTTTTAAAGACCCTGATCAGCATTTGTTCTTGATATTTCCAATTTCATCAGTGCCCACCTTTTTGCTGGTCTGGTTAATTTATGTATAAAACTATATTTACTTATTAAGACTAGTGTGTATCACAATATATTGCAATATTCAGTTTTGAGTACCAACATACATCGATACTATAACAGTGCAGTTGCTCAAATGAAATTTTGCTAGAAAAAAATGTACTTCATCCAACATATTGCCTGGAACGTTCTTGATGCAGTTTTATCAATGTGTGCTGTTCTTGTTTTACAGGCTGAAAACAGGGCCACAGAAGCTGAGAGACAAGTAGTGAAACTTCAGAAAGAGGTGGACAGACTCGAAGGTAGGTGTTGTGTGGCCATCATTTCTATAGACACCAGCATTGATACAGCATGGGTTTGTTGATGCATCCTTATGTACACATTAAACTAACTGGAACATTAGGATAGGAGGGTCATGAAATAATTATAGAAATCTGAAAATGTTTAGAAATGTACCGGTATGCATATTTGCCAACTGTTTAAAATTTCGATGGGGAAGATTCTGCATGCTCAAAATTAAAATATAAATAGAATGTGTGTATATACCCCCCTAGAGATGAATTGACCCTTTAAAATGAAATATTTTGAGTTCTCTCCGATGAAATCATTAGATCTGAGAATAAAGGAAGAGTTTAGCAAATTCACTGGTTGAAAGTACTAAATTTGAGGGTCAAAAATGAGGAGTCTCCCTTCTAAATAGGGAGAGTTTGGCAAGTATGCTGATGGTATGAATAATTTTGTGGAGAAAAAGTCTGAAATGTTCTATTGCACCTAGCAATAAAGGATTTTTAGGAATTCATATGTATGAATACCTACATTTTGCAATAGGAATCAGAACTAGGAAGCAATGTGTTTGTTCTAAAATTAGCTATAGACATAGTGTGAAATGATTGAATTAAATTGTTTGTGATACTAACTACAGTGTGAAATGATTGAATTAAATTGTTTGTGATACTAACTACATTTTGACCGTGTGTATAACTTTCAAACTCATTCAACCCTGACATTTAATAATGAACTATTCCAACCATTGAATTGGAAGAGTTCAAATGTGTCTTCAGGGGAATGAGTTAACTGTGCTTGATTTGCGTGTTAACATCTTGTGTGTAACTTCAACAATTCACTATCTCACAGATGTAGACATTTCATCTGTACATATATGCCCAACATTGAATAACTTTAATACGAAGAAGAAGAGGCAAAAGTTAACGGTTTAGATTGAAAATGTTTTAACAATGTTGAATGTTTGTGCTTTGAAAATCTCCCGGATAATCTCATTTAATCCATGAATTTTTATGTTGTAAATCACTTCATTTTCAAGTGGGCTTTATTTTGGTGAACTTTGACAGTAGGATTTATTTACCAATACTTGAATGAATTCATGGTTTAGAAGATGCTGTATGTACAATACTGTGTATTGAAAATAAATAACTTTGAAAATCTATATTCCCCAAAATATTAAATTGTAAATGTCCATATTGACAATTAAAATGTATGAAAATATTCCAAACCACATTCCAAATTACAGAAATGCATCAGTGTTCATATGAATAACAAAGTCTGCTAAAGACATTAATTTACAGATGAAAAAAAACTTAACCCGAAAAAACAATATTTGCATCTTGATTGTTGTGTTTGACCCTTAATATCATGTATATGTCATATTGTTAGAGCCGACGAGGAAGGCGATAGTTCGTCGGGTAAAGGACTATTGATGTAGACCATCATGGCAAATGTGTGTGTTTCAAACCTTGAATGTTTTTGCATGATTGTGTTTTCTTTATTCCACGCACGCATTACAGAAGACTATCGAAAGAAGACAGAGGAACTGAAGTGCATTAAGGAAGACTTAGACAACACCCTTCACCAACTAGCTTCCTTCTAGACAGCAGCCTTACCTTAATATAGATGACTACACAATTTGATAAGGTCTGGTAACACCATCATGTCGTACACATTCTCTTATAGACTTTGATTTTACCTGTCAATAGGCTTCTGATGAATATGAGAAGTTGTCAACAAGTTGAGAGTCACTATGCATCAGAGTTTACATTAACTGTCAATCCTCCCTCATTTTGACCAAAATTTACCAATCTCTCTCGAAACTCCCTCATTGAAGTCCAAACTCGGACAAAATCAAAATCTACATACTGTGGTCAAATTATCTCCTAGCTACTGCAGGGTGTGTCTAATGACCATATAACAGGTGTGTCTTAATCAAATGAATGCTTTTTGGAATTATTTTGATACATAAAAAGGGAAAGATAAATAAAGTAAAGCAGGTTCGGCCGCATTTCATGCACTTTCTCCAATTGAAATGTGAAATGAGGGAGATCTCCCCCATCATAGGTTTGCGAGGTTGACACCTAGGAGTAAATGAAGTACTGTTTTATAAACAGCTCACTCAACTTTGTGTACATCGTCGGTAGATCTGTCCTTGGCCACGCCAGGACAACAGAGCATGACTCTTATTGTTCAAAGCGTGTTGGCATGATGAATACTAATGAAAGTTGTATTATAGGGCATGCTTCAAATTCAAATTGGTATAAAGCCAAATGCATGAAAAGTCTAAACTTGGATCAAAATAAATCTTGTTTTTTTCCCTCATCAATTTTCCAGATTATTTTAAATTAAAAACTGGATTTTACTCACACTGAAAACATGACATTTAGAAGTCAGTATTTGAATCAGATGAGTTTTCATTTAACTCATTCACCCCAGAAATTTCATAATGAACTATTCAAACCTTCAAATCAGAGGAATTCAGAAGTGTCTTTAGGGGCGAATCAGTTAAAGATGTTATTTTATTCAAAGCAGTGTCTCCATTTAAAGATGTGATAATATGATTTACGCTGTGTCACAATGATGATTTATCAAAAATGTCTTAATGTTTTGATATTTCCCGTTTGCAGATGAGCTGCTCGCAGAGAAGGAAAGATACAAGCAAATCAGTGACGAACTGGACCAGACCTTTGCCGAGATTGCTGGTTACTAAAGTGTCGAACAAGGACATATTCCCCTCACCAAATTTATATCATAAATTACGAGGATAGACAGACAAAAAAAAAAAAGACTGTCAAATGGAAAAATAATATTACATCAGCTTTGTACAGCTATACAAATCGTCGTGCAAGAATTTGAAAAACGGAGAACCTGGCGTGTAGGATCCAACATTTCTTTCTCAATGTGTGTAGTAATGCAGACGAAGAAATTCCAAATTTATGTAAATTATTATAAGAAATGCTAATCTCTACGTGACCTTGCCGCGATATTGCGACCCAGAGCGGGAGTGAGAGACTAGAGAGTAAGGACGGATGGGGTCGACCGGGTCTACTTTTTAACCTCTCTACTCTTCGTGTAATTGTATGTATGTTATTTTGTGATCGGTTTCTTTTCGAACACCTGTCAGACTTCTGCAAAGCTACTACTTCTGGGGGGTAAAATAATGTTCATTTCTATATTTATATACAGTGTATATATAAGTTAATACATACATGGATTCATATTCGTTATTTTATTATATCATGTTATGACATCGGAACACGACACACAGAAGACAGTTATCCATGCCTGGCGCATTCTGTACTTGAGGCTCGGGAAGGCAATGCTAGCGGCACATAGTTACCATTAAAGTAGTAGCTAAGCAGGGGTTTGTACCAGGGGTACAAAAACCGATCGGGGTAATGTTGCGAGATATGACAGTGGTGGAAATTTGACAGCTTTAGAAATGTAGAGTCGTTTATTTTAGAAAAGATACAAGTTAGTTGTAGAAATGTAGTAGGACTGGCCAATAGCTTGGTTATAATTAGTACATCGTGTAGTCCTTTAGAGGCCGTCCACACCTGCCTCAACATTCAGAAGTGACGACCAAGAAATTCCAACGTTCATTTTAGCCACCACACGATTATATTTTTTTTTCTATTTTTGTTTTATATAAAAAGACTAAATGGCAATATCCAGACAACGCCATTGTGATATTTTAGAAGAAATACTAAATGCTTTAAATTTCCACGGCTTCTTGTCCTGCCCCTATTTAAATAAAGAAGGTGTATGTACTTTGTCTTTGGAATGATTTATTTTGCATGTTGTTTGTGTATAGAAGAATGTGTTGTATGGACTACAAACAAAAACTTAGCTGGCTATATTATTAATTGAAAAACGAATTTATACATTTTCCTTCTACACAGATTATTTACCTTATATATTATACTTTTGATTGAGAATTGACTTTTCTCATCTATAAAATATCCTTATTATGATACGAAATTTTTACCACTGTATACATATACTTGTGTAGACACAGATAAAGAGGAAACTATTGTAGGTGTACCAATTTCGTGGACGTTGTTCATGTAACATTTGCCATGTGACCAAGTCTGTTTAGCTGTACAGGAGGGAAAAGCGAGAAATATGTTTTGTCATGTGACAACTGTAGACGGAGACTCCTAGTGTTCCTAAGACTTCAGCTTCCATTGCATTTCCCTGGATATTGCCAATTTGTTTTAACCAACAATAAACTTGTATTGCTTACACACCTGACTTCGTCTTGTTACAATTCTGAACATTTCTCATCTTTTCGAAGTTAAGGATCCACGTACCACTTCCAAAAATTGTAACTTTCGTTACATTTCCTTTTTTTCCTTTTTGGCATTATTATTGTTTTGTTAAATCATTTCGGAAAAGAAAACCATACCTGAAATTTATTAAAAATAATAAATATGAAATAAGCAAAATGACAATACATTATGATTGGAGTACGGAAGTACCCTCGCCCAGTTGCCCTTGTGTTATATCCAAAACAAAATTAACTGAAAGTTTCCATCTTCTGTGGTGGGACAGGGATCCTTATTTTCGAACAACTTTTCACTTAGTAGTTATATCGACTGACATTTATTAGATTATAAGATTATCCATAACGAAATTTATTTGTACAAAATACAAAACAAAAAATCTGATTTCAAGGTAATATTCTATGTCTGATTAGTACAGGGAGGTAATCACTTTCCAGTACACATTTAACCAGATAGTGTTAAGTTTATCATAAATATATATTACATATACATACGTATCTTAACATTAAAATAGTGCTGATTGGTCTCCAATGACATCTAAAGATAATTGACATTTTCCTGACTTGGAGATGTTCCATTCAAATGGCGAGTCTCATGGGAACTTGAATTGAAAGTTAAAGGTTTACAAATATATTTTCTATTTAGGGAGCACCATTCGTATGATTTTCATTGGTTATTTTATGACATGTTTTAAAGTCATTTACTACAAATATATTACACATAAATAACAAAGAGTAGTTCCAAATTTTAGTTCTTCGAAACGTAAAAGGACAATGTCTAGGTGTCGTACTGAGAACCTGTCAAACAGTCAACCCGGCACTTTACCAATGTTTTTGCTTTACTGAAAGTATCGTTATCGATGCATTTTATGTGATGAGAATCACCAAGCCTTCGTCAAAGGGTATATAAATATAACAGTCGCCTTCATCGGGTATAAAAATGGAGTCGCTGTCCCTCTGGCAGCGAGTAGCCTCTCTGTGTACAACAAACATTAGCGCTGTAGCGCTATTTTTGCGACAAACATGATAAAAAACAAACAACAAACAAGCTGTACACTAACACTTAAAGCTAGCACATATTCAGCGAGTAAAACATACAATAACATAGCAGCACATATTTCACAGGCACTGAATTAAAAGTACTACACTTAAAATGATGTAATGAGATAATAGTGAACACCTGCATATCACACAGGTGTTGATATACAATAGGAGGGTAAAAGCACTACAAGTGTAATGTACAAACATGCTAATATATCAAAAGATTAAAATTGACATAATATACACTAATATAGTGTAAATCAAAATAAGACGACATGGTCTAGTAAGTAAGAAGAGAGGGCTAGTAACTATGCTGTCAGTTATTGGTATATATAGCGCCATCATTTCTACGGTTATAATTACATTTATCATATCTTAAAAACATCATACGACGGAGTCGAGCCCGAGAGCTAATCACATTCGAAGGGAGATAACTCTGACAAAGTTGTGCTGTGAGCTAAACAGACACTGGTTTAGGATTAAACAATCTTCCATTAACCTTCTTTAATTACACTGAAAAAACAACGACACATTACAGAAACCTGGTTGTGTAATTTCAAGAAAAAAGAAGGTTTACAGTCTATATATATATACATGTATCATCGAATTGTCTTTGACGGTTGTATCAAAGTATTATAGTTGCACAGGGATCTGATAATTTGTTACAGCTATATTTGGACCTAAACTTAGGTGTTCAGAGTAATGTTACAAGTTTAAAGGGGGTAAGATCAACGATTGATAAAAATGCTACCCCAATGATGATATCCTCGATCTACATTTGGACCTAAACTAAGGTGGACAGAGTTTAGGTCCAAATATAGCTGTAACAAATTATCACGTCCCTGTGGTATAGTGTTACAGAAGCAAACAGTTTACTTTCCTTTAAATGGAGGAAAAGTTTTCATTACAGGGTGTCAATACAGCAACGTAACACACGACCAAGTGGTAGAACTAGTTAGTGGTATATCCGTATATTGGGTATCCACCTTGTAACTATAAAAAATATCAACACCCCAGTTCCTAAGCTCATTGAATGATATCAAACAGGCAATTCCCCTCTTTATAGTCTTATCAAGAACTTGTGGAAACATTTCAGTTAATGCCGTTGGATTTAACAGTTATTACCAGGCCCAGTGGTGAGAAATGGCATCACAAGACTGAATTCGTTTATGAATTTCCGAAACCCTCAAATCGTGTACCAATGCTGACAATGGAATCTCTATTGTTATACTGAGAAAACAACATGAAGAGATGAAATAGAAATTACAATTTGGAAGTAAAGTTATAATGTAAGATATGTTTATTAAGCTATATGTATCAATGCCTTTGTGCATCATAACTAACATACATGATTGTTCATGAGCTCATGGACATTGTGACGTAGCCAATTTATCATTAACATATATATCAATTAATTTTAAGTTCATGTCACAATTACACTGATGTCTAGATCTACAGGCACCGCATTACGACATTTCCTCACAAACACTAAAGTAAAAATATGTGCAACTTCAATTACAAGTGCAAAGGGGCACGATTCCACCACAAAATGTACAACAACCGGAGTTTGATATCAATCTGTTGTCCCCGCCCATGATATAGTCATATAGCAAACTGTTGTCCCCGTCCATGATATAGTCACATACCAAACTGTTGTCCCCGCCCATGATATAGGCACATACCAAACTGTCCCCGCCCATGAAATAGTCACATACCAAACTGTCCCCGCCCATGATATAGTCACATACCAAACTGCTGTCCCCGCCCATGATATAGTCACATACTAATCTGTTGTCCCCGCCCATGATATAGCCCCATACCAAGCTGTTGTCCCCGCGCATGATATAGTCACAACCCAATCTGTTGTCCCTGCCCATGATATAGTCACATACCAAACTGCTGTCCCCGCCCATGATATAGTCACATACCCAGCTGTTGTCCCCGCCCATGATATAATCACATACCAATCTGTTGTCCCCGCCCATGATATAGTTACAAACCAATCTGTTGTCCCCGCCCATGATATAGCCCCATACCAAGCTGTTGTCCCCGCCCATGATATAATCACATACCAATCTGTTGTCCCCGCCCATTATATAGCCACATACCAAGCTGTTTTCCCCGCGCATGATATAGTCACAAACCAATCTGTTGTCCCCGCCCATGATATAGTCACATACCTAACTGTTGTCCCCGCCCATGACATAGTCACAGACCAAACTGTTGTCCCCGTCCATGATATAGTCCCATCCCAATCTGTTGTCCCCGCCCATGATATAGCCCCATACCAAGCTGTTGTCCCCGCGCATGATATAGTCACAACCCAATCTGTTGTCCCTGCCCATGATATAGTCACATACCAAACTGCTGTCCCCGCCCATGATATAGTCACATACCAACCTGTTGTCCACGCCCATGATATAGTCACATACCAATCTGTTATCCCCGCCCATGATATAGTCACATACCAATCTGTGGTCCCCGCCCATGACATAGTCACACCCCAAACTGTCGTCCCAGTTCCTGATATAGTCACATACCAATCTGTTGTCACCGCCCATGACATAGCCACATACCAAACTGTTGTCCCCGCCCATAATATAGTCACATACCAAACTGTTGTCGCCGCCCATGATATAGTCACATACCAAACTGTCCCCGCCCATGAAATAGTCACATACCAAACTGTTGTCCCCGTACATGATATAGTCACATTCCAATCTGTTGTCCCCGCCCATGATATAGCCACATTCCAATCTGTTGTCCCCGCGCATGATATAGTCACAACCCAATCTGTTGTCCCTGCCCATGATATAGTCACATACCAAACTGTTGTCCACGCCCATGACATAGTCACATACCAAACTGCTGTCCCCGCCCATGATATAGTCACATACTAATCTGTTGTCCCCGCCCATGATATAGTTACAAACCAATCTGTTGTCCCCGCCCATGATAAAGTCATATAGCAAACTGTTGTCCCCGTCCATGATATAGTCAAATACCAAACTGTTGTCCCCGCCCATGAAATAGTCACATACCAAACTGTTGTCCCCACCCATGATATAGTCACATACCAATCTGTGGTCCCCGCCCATGACATAGTCACATACCAATCTGTTGGCCCCGCCCATGACATAGTCACATACCAAACTGTTGTCCCCGCCCATAATATAGTCACATACCAAACTGTTGTCGCCGCCCATGATATAGTCACATACCAAATTGTTGTCCCCGCCCATGACATAGTCACATACCAATCTGTTGTCCCCGCCCATGATATAGTCACATACCAAACTGTTGTCCCCTCCCATGACATAGTCACATACCAAACTGTTGTCCCCGCCCATGACATAGTCACATACCAAACTGCAATAGTTATCTCGAGACATAAAAAGTTTTTCACAGATTTGACCCCTTTTTATAAAGTTGAATGAAGGTAAATTTCATTTATTTGAACAACTTTGAATGCCCCTCATTCTGGATTACTCCTTGTAATATAACTAACCTATTTCTTCTTGCACTACAGAAGAAATCATTTTAAGATTTTAAAACATTTGACCTCATGAAGATCAGTGCCATTTACTTTTAACAGATGCGATAGCCCTCTATCCAAGCTTCATACTAATCATAGGCGTTATTGGAAATGGGAAGAATTCATTTCACACATTTGATTCTGTGAACTCCAATGAAGGATAAGGCTTAACATTAAAAATACTGATAGCCATCAATCCCAGGTATTTACTGGTCAATATCTTGTAGCGAGGCCTACCTATATGACCCTTTGGTCTTAAATGGAGATCAAGGTCATTAATTATAATAACATGGTTAGCTCTCCATCGCGCTTTTTTTAATACACGACTTTGTTTTTTTTAAAACTTGAGAAAGTTGTTCAAAGAGTTTAACATATTTGACCCCTTTGA